TCTTCTTCTTCTTCTTCTTCTTCTTCTTCTTCTTCTTCTTCTTCTTCTTCTTCTTCTTCACGTAACGAGGAGATCGTATCGCAAAAAAAGGAAGCAAAAAGGCTAAGGGAGGCATCCAGCCTGGGTCCCAACCGACGCCGCCGCAGACGGGGTGAAGAGAAGACTTATGCCTCCTTAACCGTACTAGAATGGCGGACTAAGGGGAAGTCCGTCACTCAGACAGAATAACGAGGACGCACAGGTTTCCCGTGCATTTGCGTTGCGTGCATGCGTCCATGCGTTGAGGAGGCGTCGTTGCCAGTCACCATCGGGTCGCGTGATCAATACGCGCAGTGTGCCCGCGTCCCGGTGCTCGGTGAGACGAGGGAAACACTGGGGTTTTAGTCGGTAGGCTTCCGTCTAGGGAGAGAGTCCGACGTTACCACCGCGCCTTTCTCCTCTTAGGGCGCGGTGGTATGCGTAACGCATTTCCCCACTATTAAAAAAAAGTTTGTACGAAGAAAGAACAAGAAAGGAGAGAAAATCTCTTTAGTCTGCGATTTTGAATCAAAAACGTGAGCGAATATTATTTAAAAAAAATATTACCTTTTTATATTTTTTTAGCTGTCAGTAGACAGCTGTCATTTTTGATGAATTGTAAAAAAATATAGATTTCCTTTGTTAAATATTTACCTTTTATTTTTATTTTTTTTGGGTATTTTGTATTTGATACATATAATTTAATATTGATTTAGAAATTTGGTATAATTTATTTAATTATTTGATAAAATTTATATTTTACAAAATGAATGATGATGAAGAAGACGAATTTATACTTCGGCCATTTGAACAGGGTCATTGGGAGTGGAGCGAGGATGCTAAACAATTAGTATTTATGAGGTAATAGAGAATTAACGATATTATATACGATACGAATTCCATAAGACATCGTATTTAGGTTCTAGAAAACCCATAAATTAGGTCTCAAACTAAAACAACTATTATTTCTAAAAGTGCCTACATGACAATTTCTTTGGCAAAATTTATTTTATTCAAATATACAATTTTATTGAACGTAATAAATACTCAATTAACAGAGAGGTGAAAACAATCGATATCGATGTACACGATATACAACCGCAGAGTATTAGGAAAATGGAATTTAAATACGAAGTAGATTTGCTGGAAGAGGTAAATATGATATAATATTTTTATGATAATAATTTATTGTTATGCTTAATATAATAATAGTAAATTTTTAGCAAAGGTTTAAAAAACACTTCCAAAGACAATATGTTGATGACGATGTCGTACTTCTACAGGTAATTTGTGTTCTATTTAGTTATTTATAGCAAATCAAAAATTCTCAATAAAATTATAGCGAAAATTGCGATTTTCTTTTATGATTTACGAAATTAACACTTTTTATATTTTGATAGCAATATTTAAAAATTATGTTGTTAAATTCAGTAAACAGTTACTTTATTAATTAAATATTTTTCAGGATGTTAAAGATATTGTTCTTTTTTGCGCACCAAAACCAATAATATCCCGAGACATTATAAATGTTCTACATATGCGCGTCGTCGACAGATTTCTACGAGCCTTAATATTTTATTGCCAGTATTATTTACAGGTATATATTATTTCTTAAATAAATGATTTTAAAATTAAATAGCTGTCCCCCGCGATTCCGTTCTTGCGGAATAAAAAATAAACGTAATACGTAGCGTATGTGTTCTTCCAGACTTTGCTCTACATCTATGCCAAATTACAGCAAGGTTCGTTTAGCCATTTCGGAGATAGCTACAATCAAACATCCATCTATCCATCTAAACATTCGCATTTGTTATATAAATAAGACAATAAGCTGCGCAATATTTAACATAAATTAAGCATTAAATGTCTTAAATAAGTATTGCATAGGTTGCTTCAATAATGGCGGATAGGATTTTGGACTTGCAAAATAAAATTAAAACAAGATTTGGTAAAAAAATCGAAGAGAGATATGAGGCAAATCTTAGAGACGTTCGCTTGTTACTGGCAAAGGAATACTGTTCAATGCTTCAAGGTAAATTTTAAATTGAATTCACTATAAATAAAATAATGACAATAAGCACATTAAAAATAGCTAAGCGTGTAATTTCATCGCATCTTAACCATGCCTATTTTTTCGTTTATTAAAATATTTAAATAGGTCAAGTTTCTTTGCGAGAGATCCTGTCTTTTAAAGATTATTCCGTGTTATGTAGAACATTACGCTATGGAAATGCATTCATTTTTATTCCTGCGTTATTTTAAAACCTGGCGAGAGGGCTATATAGAATCTACAAAACAATTTCTTTTTTTGTGATTCGGACAAGTTTTAAGTTTTAAGTCGTAGTAGTATAGAAATATAACATAGAGGTACATTATCTGAGAACTTATTTGTTTTAGGTACGGGAGAATACATCAAATATCACCATAATAAACTCGGGACAGCAAAATCTTTGTCAAAAAGGGATAGTGTAATTTTTGAATCCGTTTTACGTATAAGCACGCATATTGCTTGGGTGGCTCTCGGAAGAAAGTCTTTTCAACAAATCGGTAACTCTTACAATATCTTTACAACATGGGTTTCTGAGACCAATATCCTCTTTAAAAACTCTGTTATCTCCTTTTTGTCATAACGACACCGATGTCTATTTTTTTGTAGAGATCTCAGAAACTAACGGTAAGTTAACATAACAATGATGTACGATATCAATGAATTAAAAATTAAACGAATTTTTTAGTATTAATTAATACATGACCGACCGAACTTATTTGTTGGAAAATTATCATTAGTAAAAAGACGTTTAAATAATACCATAACCGTGGTTAAAACTGTTTTAGAACTGGAGCTACAAAGAGTATTCAAATCGAATACGTTTAACGTAGTAAAGCACTTTCTGAAAACTGACTTCGAGAAGGACATGTCTGCGGCGGAGCATTCAGTATTGTACGGCACGTGTGAACATAAGGAACAGATCCTGGGCATACATTCGCCCTTGTTAGCCGAGATCAACTGTGATAAAAACGCTATAAACTATCGATTATTTGGACTAGGCGATTTTGAATATCCCCAGTTAGTACAGTGTTCATTTTGTACATCTTTATCTAATCCCTTGTATATTTCTTTAGATGTTAGGGCTGTGCTCGCCAGTTTTGTTTTTAATTTTTTTTTTAATTACTTAAATGTCGTCTCACACATTCTGCTATTTTATAAATTAACATATAAAAGTAAGAGTTTTTTAATTTGTTAACTTACTAAGTACTTTTAGAAATTATTAGTTAGAATCCTTTGGCGCGAATGACGTGCTTTCGTTACAAAGTCCAATGTCAGAATGATTAGTGAGGGGACATAAACGTCGACATTTTAGTAAAGCTAGTTCGTCAATACACTTCCACATTTTCAGATTTTCTTCCTAAGAGTACCTATTAACGTATTGTATTAATTACAGTTTAACTTCACGACTTTTGTACTTCAAAAATATATTAGTAACTCCTGAACAGCAACTAGACAAGGTGGGACTATCCATAGGGATCATCGGTCTACCGCGGGATCGTTTTGACACCATGCTGCGCGAGGTCAAGAAACAGAGTACTAGTACTTCATCTGCGAGCTTGCGAAAAATTGCGTCACGGTATTGTAAACATTTATTCAGTGACATTATTACAGTATTTCAATGTCAACAATATTGCCAAATTGTTATCCCTTTCATTTTCGTTGAGAAAAAAAGAGACGCATGACTAAACCAATTGCATATTTAACAATTAAAAATGAGCAACGTATCAACGTCGTAGCTTACGCTTCAATTACGATGGTAGCGGTTCTCTTGCATTTCAGAATGTCTTCAAGTCGATCCTCAGCAGGAAAGAGTACAAAGGGTGCTTTTCTCAATTTACCACTATATCCCGATATAGTTCTTCCAGAGTCTCGCCCTGATCGTAGGTAAAGTAAAACAAATTTTATATCTATCTCTGTGGCCTTCGGTTCTCATGAGTTATCATAATTTAAATTATTGGTTTATTTGTTATTATTATAGCGAGGATCTAGCAGACGCGTTTCCAGGTACACCAACCCCAATCAAATACAAGAAGAACGAACAGCGCTTGAAATGGCTACGATATGCTGAACCAATGAGAAGAAAGAGACTACAAAGTTTGAAAAAGAAATAAACAATAGAAAAAACATTACACGATTGTCTATTGAATAATAGAATATATAAGAAAATATAATACATAAACATTTCTATTTAAAGTTTGTATATTTATCGCCTAAATGTTACTTAACTATTGATAAGATTGCATTTAAACTATAGTAGGATATTTTGTACGCCCTAAAACTACTTCTGGCTCAGAAATTAAAATATAACGTCTTTTTTTTAATTTACAAAGCATTGTTGGGTTCAAACCAGGAAATAAACGTATAAAACAATTTAATGTTTCTTGTACACGTGCCTGAATGTCAAGAAATTACAAATACTTATCTGTCGTAGATCATTTTCCGACAGGTTAAGTGGCAGAAACCGATTTCCAGTACTGCAATTACGCTGTCAGAAGCTATCTTTAATATTTGATGGAAACCTTTCGTGAATAGAAATCCTTTTCAGTACGTTCAATTTTAAAAGTAGGTTGACACTTAAACCTGTATATTTCAAATAATAAATGAAAACGTTGTGTTACTTATGTAGTTGGAGTAGAAGTTTGAAGTTGAACTCATTCCAAATCAAACGCGTAGCAATTGATTTAAAAAAAATTCAATGTATATAGGTTCACGGACTAACTCTGTCATGTCTATTAGGTTTAATATTGAATCATTAACACAATTATTCCATTGTAATTATTTTATTGTAAATAAATAACTATGTAAATAACTAAAAATAAACTTCACATAAAACTTACGATATTCACGTAAGCGTTAAATTAAATTCTTCCACTGATTATTAACCGTTCAACACAAAAATATAAATATTAAGGATATAAGATTCTTGCAAGTCGATTCAACCAGCGGAGACGTTGCACGTCGCTGCACGGCCGGATCTCCTCGGTTGCATCGGGAAAATGCGACGGGAAATACGGTCTGAAAATATTTTTATTTTACTTCCAAACAAAAAAAATATTACATTAGCTTCTTACTTGGTAATCTATCATTCCTTACACCATGACAAATTATATACAAACTAGTTGTCGCCCGCGACTCCGTCCGCGTGGATACATAAAAAACTTAATGTATACATAGATAAGTTAATTAAACAGCAGCTCTTCAAGGCATAAATTCGAATAAAATAAGAAATAAAAAAAGAATAGATAGTATACTATGTCCGTCTCCTGGCTCTAAGCTACCTTCTCATCAATTTTCAACCATATCGGTATAGCCGTTCTTGAGGTATAAATAGTGTAACTAACACGATTTTCTTTTACATATATAGATATATAAAATTCACTCAATTACTCAAATGGCTACATTAAAAAAAATTATTCACAGGATGTTTAGTCAGTAATTATAATTAGATCATTATAAATGAATAATCCTATTTCCAAATGTAAAAACCTACCTTTCCGATCTTTCTAACGATGTAAATTTTCTTTGTATTACCATTTGTTATGAATTAAAACTGTGAATAAGATCTCAAAATCACTTACATCTTAGCCTCTTTAGTTGGCAAAACAATGTCTGAGTATAATTTTAGAATTACATTTTTCTTTACTGACACAGAGCTTTTCGTGCTAGCGCTGTACGAACTTGTAGACGACCTGTATCAAAAAATTGGTAAATTAATATACACATTCAAAATATGTATTTTTGGCTATTAGACGATCATAGCGACGATCGATCTAAGTAATAATTACTGACATGGATGCTTTCGATTTGCCTTCCGTGACAGAGGGTAATGGTCTCAGCATGGTATCAAAGATAGAACGCGGCAAGCCCAAAATCCCCAGCACAATGCCAAATTCCGCTAACGACTCCTCGGGACCCGCCACCGCTCGCTTCATATACAATGTTCTTGCTGAATATCTGCATAAAAAATCACACATAATAATAAAATTTGAAGAGTTTGTAAGGGTTAATCCGAACTATTGATTACATTAGCCGTTCTAAGTTTGTAGGTTATTTCTAATAATGTTAAGCCGTGGGAAATAACAAACAAAAACATACTGGTATTAGTTCGTATTTTCGAATAAAGGTATAATTTTTTAATCAATACTCACTGATTATATTTAACAACTCCTAGACTTAATAAACGGAAATCAATATCTCTATGACAGAAGACTTCGTTCATGAGCGGCGAGCGCGTGTTCAGCTTTTTATCGCGACGTAGACAAATTCCGAGCAACGCGTCTTTCTCCTCTTTCATCATCTTGGCCACGTAGTCGGTGTGCAACGTGTGCTCGACCGCGTTGAATGTCTCCGATTTAAATATACGATTTATCTCCAATTCTAAAAGAATTACCGTTGTTATGATGTACTGGGTTAACAACTTTACGAGTACTAATCTATCCCTCAAATTTATTTTATAACAAATTTGAAGACATCTAAAAGAAATCATTCTTAAAAGCGTTTTTAGGTTTCAAGTTTTAAATAACACTTTAACTTAAGGAGTTTAAATCAGATAACATTTAAAGTGTGGTTAAAAATATGCGCTACGAACCTATCTGGTTGAAAGCTTTTCTGCCTAGAGCCAACCAAACAATTTGCACGGTCATACGCAATAAAGTTTCAAAAAGATGCGCGTCTTTGTCCGATAAAGATTTTCTCTTTTTCTGTGGGCCCATGTGATGAAATTTTCGCGTATCTCCACCACCTAAAAACAAGAACTGTTAAGGTGAAAAACAAACAAGCGGCCACCTGAATTTGCAGGCATAGACAAGCGGCCGCTGGCCATCCGTATTTACATTTAAATCTCTTTTGCATCCCCTTCCTTATAAGAAAGTGGTGAGAAGGGAAAGAAGACCAAAACTAGGCCTCCGTCCGGGAATCGCATGTAAATGTGGTTTGAATCAATATATTCATAAAACAATACAAACCGATAATCATCGTGCTATATTCCTTAGCGATGAGTACCCGCAAATCTGATAAATTATCCCGGAATTCATTTTCTAACATATCACAATACGGCGTCCGAACTTTCGCTTCCAGCTCTAACATACGTCGGGCCATTTCATCTGCAATCTATACCAATATTTTAAAATTAACCATTACATACGATCAACAGCGAAACAAGTTATGTATACAGATTTACAGCCACTTTTACCTGTAAATAATACTGCGAATACATTATAAGCGCACGTATGAATCTTTCCGTTGTAGGTAAATGGAGCATATTTATTAACATCGGGCTCAACAGACTGACCGGCGCTGTGAATAGTGCTATATCCTTCACATCCTGTAAGTCGTAATATTTTATAGACTTTTTGTATGACAAAATATTGCAATACGATACATTGAGCGTTAAGCGGCTTAGTGAGGAATTGCGAACTCAAATGTACCAAAATGACTGATACCATTTTATAAATATTTCTTACTTTTTACTAATGATATATCTGCAAATGTTTAAACGTAAAAATGGATGTTTGTTTGAACGTATCCCGATTAATGCTGCATGAAATTTGGTATAGATGTAGAACATAGTCGAGAATAACACGTGGGCTACTAATTATGTTTATTTTATTCCCGCGCAGATGGAGTCGAGGGCGGCTGGTAGTTTCATATATTTTGAAAATTTGGATGACCTTAATATTTATTACCTGCAAAGTTATAACATCAGGTTGTCCAGGTTTCAGTTTCCTTTGATATCGCCGTCTAAAACGTATCTAAATACAGAAACAAACGGTTACTGCAACTACAATTATCAATCGTAATAAAAATGTAAGAATCAGTACATACTATGAAAATGCATCATTTGTAAATATTTAAAAAAAAGTTACACTATTTTAAGTAAATTAATGATATACCTGTTCTATTAAATCTACATCGTCTCTAAATTCAACAGTTCCTGTGGGCACCTTAGTTGGTACTTGAATCGTTTCTACGGGTTTTGGCGGAAGATCACTGAAAATTATAATACAACTTTATCTTATTTAATATATTTAAAAGCAATTAAAAAAGGAATTCAGTTAGAAACACTGGTCGTTTGTCGTTTATCATAGGAATCTATATAGGAAGCGGAAACGTTCTCTTTCTGTACGTCGACTCGGCAACGCATCTGCAATTGTTGATGACTATGGACATTGGTTTGCATCGCTATTTCGGCGAATCCAGGTGGCCGCTTGCTCGTTTGCCATCGTATAAAAACAACGAAATTCTCGCGTCTTAGTTTATTCACGTAATCTTTACTTTTACTTCCGATATGTGTTGTTTATAATCTTAATCTCACCTAACAAATATTAAAGCTTGTGTAGCCTCATCCCAAACCCAGTGCCCGTCCTCATACAAACCACCGAAACCTCCTTCATCCTCATCTTCAGCCATTGTCTTATTACTGAATTCTTACTTATAAACAATAACAATAAGCAATAAGTTTATATCCACTAAAATAAATATAAATACAGTACAAACGAGTTCATCTGAAAACTGTCAGATTTGACAACTTTTTATAACATTTCTTTTCTTTGCGGTTGGTTTTAAAGCATAGACGTTTTATTTTTTGACAATTTGCTGACTTACTTAACCATCACAAACTTTTTATCTATAAACAAGACATCTTACTAATACTATAAATGCAAATGTTTAGATGTATTGATGAATGAATGGATGTTTGTTAGAAGATATCTCCAATACGGCTAAATGGATCATGATGAAATTTGGCATGGATGTAGAACATAGTCTGGAAGACAACAACCACTAATGATTTTTTTTAACACGCGCAGACGGAGTGGCGGGTGACAACTGGTGTTATATTATATTATATTTCGCGGTTAAATATATGTACACTTAAATCCTTTATAAGACATTCGGATGTGTTAAATGCTTACGGAGGCATTAAAAGTAATGATTTAAATACATAAGTAACAGTTCTTATCCTAATAAGACCGAAAATCTTCCGAAGCACGTCTCCCGGCCGCCACATTATTACCTTTAGAATGTATTTACGAATGTACGTGATTCACGGCTGCTATAACTTGCGAATTACAATTTTCGAAGCGTGTATTTGTAAGTTTGACAAAATTTACGACATCACCAGTAAGTTCTTACCAACCAAAGGCACTGAATATAAAGTTATGTTAATGTACCGAATGCACTAACTTCAAACCTTAAAACTTACAAAATGTTCAAAGTTATTACCGATTCGAGATGGACAGTCTCGCATGAATATCAAATATTTCAACTTTGAATTGCAATGTTTGATAAATGTACATTCGGTAACAGAATTCTGAGGGAAACTATTGTATTTTAGGTAGAGATGGTCATTGTTTTAACTTCAGTATTTCCATTAATTACAAGACAACGTACACTATTTGTTGAAATGATTTGTTTTCTCTTACTAAATTTTCCTCTATATTCGTTAATATTCTATTCATTTTATAGTTGAATAAACAATTTTCTAATCCTTACACATGCGGTTGATTCGTGTGGCATATGCATAATAAATATAGCTTAAATAAACGTTGAGGGAACAAGTGTGTCAGGTGTATTAATTCAATGAACCCGAGCACAGGCGATTGCTCGCGGGCTGTGCGGAGCTAGCGCTGCCCAGCTTTGATCCTGTGCGCTCCGCCGTGTGATCAGATGAGCCTCTACTTAGCGACACTTCACTGACGATTCTCGCTTGCTTTTCAAATGTTTATTTTAGATAGGTTATATTATTTTATATTTAAATCTTGAACCTATTCATAGGTTTAATGTTGCAAGAAAATAGAATTTGGTATTCCGTATATTTTCAACGCCGTCTAATTTATTTAAAACAAGAAACCAGTTAAGTATTGCTTTGTCTCTTAGCACTGGACTTTATGTATATATAAGTACTCATCAATATTACGCAACACGTCACAAGTAAATAATTTTTTTTTTCGTGAAACTTCCTCGGTGAAGTCGGCAAATTTATGAATCATAGGAAGATATACTGTTACTGTTCGGCCGTTTTTGTATAAACTACGGTTACGTAATCATATTGTTATTTCTTTGCTTTTAATCTGGTTACTTAAAAGACCTACGAAACGTTAACAAAACGCTGAATCACAAATCTGAATGAGCACCACTTTCCACTCCATTTCACCTTTATTTCCAAACTTCCGAACCGACGAACCGAACGATTAAATTAAACCAATAACTTTACCTATGCACTCGTGTGGAAATATATGAAACAAAAATATGTGACGAAATTAGAATGATAATCAATAGATTTAGATAATAGTACTAAAAGTAATACAATGAAGGCTTCAAGGATCTGTATAGAGTATAGAGTAATAGAGAGTATCGGTTCATTAGTGAGGGTCACGCTTATTCTAAAGTGAATCAAAATTTTCGCCTGACGTTACTGATTGATCATAGCTAATACCTATGATTTATAAAATTGAGTGTTTTAATTCACGCCATCTCTAATATTTAATAGCTCAATTAGTTAAGTATTTTATATCAGAAATCTTACTTATGAATATTATAATTTCACATGCATCAAGTCTCAGTTGATGGCTGATATTGTAGACCAATAAATAAAGTTTTCTTAATTTCTCGCATATTTTCTTTAAACTCTGAGCCATTTGCGTGTAATCAGGCGTCTCGTCAGCTCGTCACACTGCAATGAATATTCATGTCGTGATCGATGCGCCTCGCTTTATTCATTGTAAACACGTGTACGTGTCCTTTGAAGCCTTCATTGTATTACATTAAATGTTCCATTCATCTTAAGCACCTGCATATGTTAATTAACTTTCATCCCGTTAAATATTGTATTCAATCCAAAATAAATAGAGGTTGTTTGCAATGATTAACTGTCGAAAATTAAGCTGAGCTTTGTAAACGTTTAATACTCTTTATAATAATATAAAAGGAATTGTAAATTTATGAATCATCGTAGTTATGTTTTTCCATATCGAAAGCCTAATGTCTTAGGATGTTGCTACCGAAACCTTTTACTATTATTTCTTTCGCCATTAATAACTATTAGCTCGGCTAGAAATTAAAAAAAACATTTCATTTAAAGTTGTTATTGTCATAAACGATGGATGGTTTTCCGTATGGTCAAAATGGCCTTTTTCAATTTATTTTGAGTAAATTTTTCTTAAGATTTAAATAAAACAAATCATACATTATTATTTAACCTTTTTATTATGTTCTGGCGTACTTTCGACACTTTCTTTAGGAACCATACTTAAGTTGAAAGTTAAAAAGTAATAATAATATCGAATCCAAAAATATAAAACACCTAAAGAACAGTACACCGATGTCATCATTAAAGGTAAAAACGGGAACATTTTGTCCATACCTGATATGAAGTGTATTGCGTTTTCATAAGCCCATAAACATATCAAATTATATAAATATAAACATTCAATTCTATTCAACATTGGTAAACGAAGTTTCCGAATTCTTTTCGTACCTTTCATTTTGGGAACAACGTAAAACGCAGGTAAATGACCAAAAGCAATGGCACAATATGTTAACAGTAAAAACAACTTAATTCCTATTAAATATTTAGGGTAAAGTAATGGGAATAGGGAATAGGTTCCGACTGTAGACAGGAATAAGAATAATCTTCCGTCCATTTCTCCACATACCGCTAAGAACCTGAAACAAAATATAATTTTTTTCCTCCTTGAAAATTGTTATATTCACGAAATACTAAAAAGAAATCTTACCCTAATGGTATTAGAATCATCAATATTGCTTTCTCGTGGACATGCCAACCAAATATAAATGAACAAGTTGCGCATACTGTCATACATCTGAAAAATACGAAAAATTTATAGAAAATATTGTCTCTTAAATAAAAATGTTCACATCTTCAAAAATTAAACAACTATGATATTGTACCTTATAAAACTCATAGCTCTATATTTTCTGTCCGCACATAGATTCCACAACTTTATTAGAGCAGGAACCATAGACAATAGAGTCAATACAAATGTTACAGTTGGTGTTATCAACGGCAGGACTCCATGGTCGTATTCCTGCACTAAGCCGCCAGTCATGGACGCCTCCCTTGATGACACTGATATTCCTAATATTGGTACTGAAAAAAAAAACATAAATATATCATAGATATTTCATGGCAGCACTCGTGGAATGTTTCAATTATTCAAGACAATTTATCTATAGAATATTGGATTCTTGTTGTTGTTTTTAGTTACTAAAACAAAATTACTTACATACATATAGTAAAACTTTATCTCCAAAATTATATAGAGCCCAAAAATTAGGTGCCCAATATGCATGGCATAACCCTCTCTTGAATGGGAACAGTCTTGACAAGATCTAAAATAATTAAATCAACAGTAATTAATTGGAATACATTTTTTAAAGATATCTATTTTACTTTTCGCAGAGTTAAAATAATGTTAAAAAAAAAGAAAATCTTATCTTGACAGGACACATTAATAATATTGCAATACAAAAAATAATCGCCACAGTACAATTTGCATAAAAACTTAATATAATATAAATAAACTTCTGACAAATACTGATAATTAATAAATAAAAGAAACACATGGGTGTTCCTGACACTAAAATCTCTGTATAGAATATATTGTCATCACTGTCTTTCACATTTGATACAACAGAGATAACAATATTTTTAAATTGGTCTCAGAAACCCACAGTTAGTGATCTATAATATAATAGAGGTTTACCTGTGGTATATGGTGGATAAAAGGTCCAAAAGATAAAGTAAAAACTGTTATCACAATTATTGCCAATTTCATCAAATTCTTTATAGAAAATGAATACCATGCGGTATGAACACCATCGGTGGATGCCACAGTGAAACAATATGCTCTCAACAAATAAACCACATACACAGGAGCTATATACAAAAATATATGCTTTAAGTTCAATAGAACTGAAAACCAAAATGCAGCCCATAAATATTTTCCCTGAAAGAAAAGTTATGATTAGTAAACTAAAATCTTTTAATAAATAAAGTGAATGTGGTAATATTTCTTGAAGTAATAGATATTGTAGTACGACACCATATATTATTGTCTTTACTTTATAGCAAACTTACCTTAATCATACTGAAAATAGAAAAAAGAAGAAATGCATATAAAAATCCATTATATTGAAAATGTATATGATCAACCATCAATAATCCAGGATTTGCTGCCAATAAAATAAACACCAATAGCCTTCCATTGGTGATTAAGCCTGAACAGCTGAAAAAATTTGAACAAGTTCAACGTGCAACCAAACAACTTATTACTTTTCATATTTTATACTGATTTAAGTAAATATAAGATGCTTACCATTTCGCACTATATAAGTAAAAGCAATCTAGAATGATTACAGACAAGCGTTGAAATATTATAGTCATTTGTGACTCATAGTTCAAGTTTTGTATTTTTACCATTTCTGGATCCAAAAATTTTGCTATATGAGAAAGGCCATACTCCAACCATGCAAAGAATGGAGGATAATCTAATGTCCATTCTGACGTAGACTCGTAATACCACTGGTCAATTGTTAGATTATGAGTTATAGCTAGCCAGTTTCGATGAACTTCAAAGTCAGTTGAATGACTGAAAACAATCAAGATGAATGTACACTAAATTCTTAAATACTTTACATTCTTAAGTTATAAAAAAGCGAGTAAAAAATGTTTTATACTTACTATAAAGGTATGAAAAATAATTTAAATGCAGAAAGTAGCGCTATTATTTGATAGATCATTTTGTATTTTAAATCTTAATTATAATAACCGACAAACATTACGATATTGTTATAATTGAATTACAGTAAATGTAGTATTATCTCGGCAGTCTTATCAATACATATAGCCTAATTTAACCAAAAAAAACTTTAAACGTTGTTATCATATCGCATACGATTATCACTTGCCGGCTTTCGCTTGACACTTGACATTTGTCAGCTTGTCAGTGTGAAAGTCAAACCATTGTGTGTTGTCTCTGTCGGTGTCTAATTAAGTTTAAAAACACTTTTATTAAACGACTGACTCATTACTTGCGTCGGGTTTCAAATTAATTTCGTGAGTATTTTACAATGATTATTAATTTCAAACAGAACGCAAAACAAAACTCATTTTATATTTTTTTCTTTTGTAATTTTACCCGCATGCCACTTTTATTCTTTGCTGTACCGCACTGCTGTCAATCTTCATTATTTTATATACTCTTTGATTGTCATTGTCAACTACGTAAAAACAGTTGTATAGACAGATTTTCTATTTATAAGTTTTCTTTAAATATAAATTATGGCGATATTACATAGAGCTCTTTTTACTTGGTTTATATTTTTAGTATTCTTAATTTTATTATGTCTAAGATTAGAGTCAAGAACGCATTGGAATTGGTTTATAGTATTTATACCAATGTGGGTATACGACAGTATATTATTGATTTACGTGCTGTTTCATATGGTTTCCCACTGTCGTAATGGTATAGAAAGATTTAGAGGCACAATTAATAAAAATGTTTGGTATATTGCTGCAATTGGACTTAAAATGGCAGCGCAAATAATAATATGTATAAAATTAGAATACACAAAACTTTATCTTCCAATATATATCGTTATGACGCCTATTTGGATGTTATTGCCGGTACTATGTGTTGAAGTGTTTATGCACCTTATAAAACATTCAAGCAGAAGCAGTCGTTATTAGTGTATTAACAAAAATGGTTCATAAACAATTTATCAGACTTATACATTCTTATGTGAAAAGATGTGACCTCGTGAATGGCAGATAATTTTAAACTTGGCACAGATTCATTGACACAGGGTATGTGTGCACTGTAATGTCATAGTCATAAATGATTCAAAACTGATGATATAATCATCCTATAAAGCAGCAAGTTATTGAAATGGCAACCAATATTGCAGTTTTAAAGGATTCCATTGTCAAAGAAGTGCCTGCAGGTTCTACTGCAGTTCTGAACTGTAACAGCAATGATTATTCTCACAATTTTATGTTTTGGCTTGTCAATAAAACAAAAGTAATTGGCCCTGACAATGACTTTGATGAGAGAAAATATAAATATGAAGTTTTATCAGGAAAACTACGGATAAATGTAAGTGTAACACTATGATGTATTTAAATAGAATAGATTGTGAAAATGCAAAACATGCTGCTGCAGTACTTTCTTATTTAATTCCATACAATCAAAACCCTAAAAAATTATAAATCATTCTTAATTAAATTACAGAATGTATCACCAAGTGAATCCGGCCAGTATGTGTGCCTGTCAAAACATCTTGATGGTTCAAAGATCTCAGCTGGTGAAGTGGAAATGATAGTAAAAGGTTCATCATTCACAGCAATTGATGCAGTAAAACTTGTTGCAATTGTGGTCTCTATAATTGTCTTGATTGGTTGCGCTGTTATTTATTATCGCTTAAGAAAACAATGGAGAAAATATGACGGCCGGACAGTTGTACCAGGTAGGGATTGTGGATTTTTGTTTTCATTTTATTATGTATACATTTTAAATAATTCATTGACAAAATAAAAAACTTTAGGTCAATCGGTACTGTAAAATTTAGCATTCAAATATTTTGATAATATCCCACTAATATTATAAATATGAATGTTTGGATGGATGTTTGTTAGAAGGCATCTCCAGAACGGTGGCATGGATCTTGCTGAAATTTGGCATGGATGTAGAATACTCTATAAGTAGTCTCATAAAGTTTGTTGTTGTTAATATCAAAGTAATATTGGTAATAATATTTTGCAGTGGATGATGTTGAAGAAGAGGATGGTGATGAAATTTACAACCGCACAACAAAGGCCATCACTCCAGTACCTGGTCCCAGCAGGAATGTATCATCTGAACATTTGTTGTATGGCATAGACAATCAGGGATTAGACACCGATTTTAATTCAGTTTTCGAAAATATCCAGATAAAAACACCAAGTCCTAGTCTTATATAGATTTTCAATTTTATTTAAAAAGTTTTTATTTTAATATTCTAACAGTTCAATAGAAATATAGTACAAATCTTTAGTTTATTTAGGACCTTAAATGCAGGCACATCTTAATTTAACTTTTAATTGTTAAGATTAATAATGTAAATATAAGGTATACATTTATATATAAAAATAAATATAACATAAACTGTTCTGTGTTCTATTTTTATCTTCTTTTAATACAAATTTTAATAAGTAAGTAACATATTGTTAAAATAAAATTATCCGATGTGTGGGAAAACATTTTTATTACTTAGGAATTAATTAAAATCTTCAGTTGAAGCATCATGTTTCTTAGGTGTTTGTTGTTCACCTGCATGACTTGATTGTGACTGAGGCGTAGTGTCTAACGTTTCATCCTCTTCATCATCACCATTTACTTCCATTTCGAAAACTCGGACTTTCCTATGACTCTTCGATAATACCACAGATACCTTACGTCCACCCGATACAGCTATCCTAAAGCCATCCATTTTTTCAAGTATCTTATAAACACTCTGATCTAAATATGACGAAATATTCTTTTCTTGTGTTTTTTCGTTGAAAACACAAGTTTTTGATTTTATGTTCAAATCACTAGCATTTTCTAGAGCAACTTTTACTGGCAATTGAATGAAAATTGAGTTTTCTTCATTACGTGGATGCCTTACGAGTATAGAAAGATAATCTGCTGAATAAAATTGTAGATCCAATATTTCCATTGTCTCATCCTCTAAACGGCTTTGACCAGCTTGTTGCAATAAATTTGATGAAAAGTAATATTTTGTTGCAACTGCCGAACATGATTTTTCTTTAATTTGAATTGACATTAAACATAACCTATCAGGTGCATTCCTAAGGTCCACTAAACCCATCACAAATCTATCTTGATTTGAATCATAAGTCTGTGATATTCTTAAATTTCTTTCTGGATTTAGTACAATGCCCCGATTTTCATAGCATTTAGTGTTATAAATGACAGAAAAATGTTTGCCTATATTTTTTCCAGTTACATCAAAAACTTGATTTATGGCATCCTTCAAGTATTTTTGTTGTTGTACCAAAGAAAATCTTCTAAATTCAGTCATTGAGAATATTGTGTCACTGTCGTTCACCAAACACGAATTATCTTTAAGAAATTTATGCCATGGATTATCTTCATCATCAGGAAGTATTGTTAAATCTTGATCTTGCAAATATTGTCCTAATCTTTCTAAATTGAATTTCACAGGTTTCTCTGATGAATGTTCACCCTCAGTTTGTACGCTATCAAAGTTATATAAAAGTTCAGCTATATGAGTGAATTCTTGTTGCGTCATTTTAACAATCTCACAAGGTGTCTGTTCATCAAGTAAACGGATAATTACTACAAAGAGCCATCGGAAGAATGCCTTGTAGTTGCGCATTGAAACATCAATTACTTGTTGTAATTCCAGGCATTTGTTAAGAAACGCACAACAGGCTCTAATTGATCTAGTAACTGTAGTCTCATCCAAACCTAGAATCTAAAAAAAAAATTACACATTAAATAATGCGGACCATTTATTATTTTTTTTTATTAAAAAACAATCATTACCTTAAATCTATCTGGTATTCTAGTAAGTCCTCTTATATCAGAAAGGTAATAAGATAAATTGTGTCCTACAATATTTAGCTGTTTTAGGACAAGCTTTTGTATTGTAGAATAACTTAATTCCACTGAACTGCCAAACTTTTTCAATCCTTTAGCTGTCAATTCTTGAAGTAAGAACAATTCAAGTTCATCGGATGGTACACCTAAAATTTTCAACAATACATTGTTGTTCTTAAAAACAACTCCATATAAAAACTTTTTTAGTAATCAACATACCTAACATTAGTAGTTCCAATAAATCAGCTGAAACACCACCTTTAGGTACTGAAGATGCATAATGAGCCATTTTTGAATCCATTTCAAGTAAAATATGTTCCCAAGCTTCCGTTATTGATGTCATTGTTTGATCAAGATGTGATAATAATTGAACAATTTGACAATGTTTATTTGCCACAACAAACAATTCTTCGGAATATGCTGACAATACACTTGTGTTGATTACTGACAGGTATATATTTTTCGTAATCTTGTCTAAATAAAGTACCTGCGTTACACTAAAATCATTAGACAAGTTGATGTCCAATAATTTATATTCTCCACATTCATCATTGACTAATTCTGCTAATTGTATAGTTCCATATGGATATCTACCAAATACACTCATGTAAATATTTCCATTGCCATATCCAATCATTAACATGCTCAACTGTGATGGTACCGGTATTTCTTTGTAACATTGGACTGTATCATCAGAACCTTGACTTTTATATGAAGTACTTGCAGAAGGTGGTTTTTGCAAGAATATTGTTGCATCATCCTGAAAATTTCAAGGCAAAGGTTTATAAAACATAGCTGTACTGTAACAATAAGCAATAGCCTAAGCTTAATTTAAAAAGCCAAAGAACCGGATTGAGGCTTCAATAGATAAAACTGAGCCATCTATTGTCTGTTTTAAAACAAACATTTTTTCTTATAATCATAATACTTACATAAACATTATATTCTGTTGCACTCTCTAATACACCTGCTTTAACAGCCCAAGTGATGCAGGAAATGCCTACAGGTTTACAATCATATGGATCTTCTGAATTTTCAGCACTAAAATCATATTTGTCTAGAATCTCTTTGTCCTCAATATCAACGACATATACAATTCCAAAACTGTAACCGATTGCTAACGCCTAAAAAATATAAAACATATATTTATGATATCTATAATAGATGGATTATTAAAATAGAGGAAGATTTAATGGATTACATAAATAATTAATAAAACTCATTTTTTTTAATACTTATTTTCATTACTAAAACTGTTAATACCTTGCCATCAGGTCTCCAGGCAATAGCTTGTACTGTTACATTTTCTTTTGGTGCAGGTAAATTCCAAACTTTTTGCCAATGTAATCTATGTACTTGCACTTCTCCTAAAATATAGTAATATTTTGAATGGAGATTCGCTTTAGACACACTATTTCACTCTTTAAATGTAAACTATGTTTTGCTGTTCCTTTATGGAATAAACTACATACTGTAGACCCATGGTAAATCAAGATTTTGCAGGATAGTGTGGAACTATCGAATTTTTTGGGTTATAGAGTACTGCCTAAGACGCCAAATAGACCGTTATTTTTTTTCAAAATAGTATCTTACATTTTGAATAATTCTAGATCAAATATAGATTATTTATTATTCTCTGAAGTAAAATGAACACTATAAATGCTATGAAACTTATACAAAATAATAAATTTACAGTAGTAAATAACCATGTACAAAGAAGTGTACGTATATATTTATTAAAATAATCAAAACCTGCATAAAAGTTATATTTATAAAAATTTATGGAGCATGGAAATGGACATGTCAGATAACAAGGGGCGTCGGGTAAGACATGGGCTGGATTACTACGGATCCACTGTAATTACAATTTTAACTATAAATTTAATTTATGATTTGTTTTCTTGCCTTTGAAATTGCTAATAGCTACTAAATCCAACCGGTTACTCCAAACCATTAAATCCACTTGATAAGTAACATGTCTTTCTTCTACTTGTCTCATTGCACAATTAAACATTTTATGTTTAAACCTAAATAAAAATAATACGGTATTTTCGTATTCCGTTGAAAATATAAAATGTAATATTTTGAGCTTAAATTGACATTGACACTTTCAAGTGATTGTCACTGTCAGTTAATGATTTTTACAGACGTCTTTATTGTCAAGCAATAATATCTGAATCGGTAAGGCACTATCTCGACAATAAACTTAGTAAGAAAAAATTACATCTTATTTTACAAATTAAAATCTTTTATAAATCCAGAGCATGCATAATTTGTATTAGATGCGAACACAATCGCATTAATAAATATTTATTACGTATGAATTTATTGTTATTTAGAATAATAAAAAGTTCACTTATATTGGCGCAAGTGTTTACCAGTATAATGAAATTTTTTCCCAAATACAGGAAAATATAGTGAAAAATAAAAAAAACCATTAGATAAAATGTTTATTATTATATTTTTGTAAAAGAAATAAAAACCCAAGACATTTAACAAACACGATGTTGTGCTTTATTGTCGTTGTAAAATGATTAATTCGTTTGTATAAAATGTAATAAAAAAATAAAATAAAAACATACAAAAAAACAAATAACAACACTTTTATACCACAAAATAACCTCTGAAGGCCTACTAAAATGCCTCACTTTTGTGCTTCAAATGCTCAGTGCTTAGATATAAGTCTATGAAAGGAACGTTAAATTTAAAATTGAGAGAAATAGTACAATTGATAAGATAATTAGACACATTTGAATTTATTTGTAAATTAATTTATTACTTTCCCTTTTTTTCTTAACTACTTCATCCCAAATATTATTGTCTTTAGAACATTTCATGGACAAGGACCAAATATCTTTAAAAATTTAATTTCATGTATAATACAAATCTCTATTTCAGGCCAGTAGTTTAATTGACCACTTTAGAAATACATAGATACTTGATATTCCTGACTATAATTAAAATAAACTTAACCGTACAAACACTTAATTAATCTTTACTTACTTGATTTTGTAATATATTTCTATTCAAAGTTATATAAAAGTTTATAAATTCTAAATTACTATAACTGTCAGAAGTAAAACACATTTTACTTACAGAAAGAGTGTTCTAAGTTAGAGATATATTTTATAATACATACAATAGGTTAAATTACAGTAATTTAGATAAATTATGTTATGTTATAATTAGTACATACTAAAAAGTAAAAATCTTAACCATAATCTTAAAATTGTACATATTTTGTTCATATGCTTCAGAGTCTAAACCATATATTAGCTGGTAATGTATATAAATATTTTAAAAAATAATTTTGAATTAAAAAAATATTATCATCATAAGAGATTGGCAGTACCCTGTTGGGTATCATATGAACTCTACTTGGTAGAGTATTCTAGATTAGTCTTATCAGATTGGTAGAAGGAAAAACTTTAATATTTGTCACAAAATATATGTATAAGAATTAGTTAACATACTTAACAATTAAACTTAGGCCTATTTTAATGCTCTTTACATGTTGCCGTGGTAAAAAATTTAAATGTAATGCTTAAGAACTTAATAATACTAGTCATTGCTCATTAGTCGAAATTTGGCCACAATTTATTATCAAAGTTTTTTTTTACTAAACACATCTTTGTGCCCTTTCTAACAAAAGTATTTATTCTACTGTAATTACACACTAAATTTATAATAATTAACATTTTATAGACAAATGACTAGTGACTCGATTGATTCTTGTGACTCTTTCGTATTTTGTTAATATTGCAATTTTTGGATTAAGTTTATAATATGATAGTGAATAAAATCGAGCAATTCATATAGGAAATACATTTGTATTTATAAAGTTAGTAAAAATTTTATACAATATTTCACAAAGACAAAGCAAGAAAACTGAGCAGGAGGAATGAGTGGTGAGAAATAGAGGTTGTCAGGTAACAGACCAACAGTCAATAGGTTTTGCTGGAGTATTAAAATGCCAGATTAGTGAGATGCCACACACACATTTATTTATTATACAGCTTAGAATACTTATTTATTCAATTTAAGTAATTAACATTTATGTTGGCAAAATAAAATAAATGCCAAGTCAACATGGTCATAAATTTTTAACAAGCTCAATGTCACAACAATTTAAACATTCACATATATCACATAGCGTGAGTCAGTGGCACTGAGGATGTGAATTAAGATAAAGGAATTTGATTCCAAAATGATTTAATTAGTCAAATCAATTTTTAGTCCAAAGAAGCCGTTAAAATCAACAAATATGGTTAATTACTTGTGCTTACCCTTACGAGTGGTGCGTCTTTTACGATGCTATATACCTAAAAATTCACCAAACTCCTGACTAAGATTGTGCTCCTCCATAAATTTGGAAAATGCGTGCTTATTTTTAGATAAGTGATTCTGAAAACTAACTTCCTGGAAATCCTTAAATTGTTGATTTTTGGCTTTCTTGTTTATGTCAAAAACTTCTGATTTCCTTATAGATATTTTCTTCCAATTCAATGACTTTATATCTTTCCACCATTCTGAACAGTCTTTATCAATTCCTTCAATACATATTATGCCAGGTTTTCCAGGTAAACAAAATCCGGTCAAATTCAGTTCTTTAGACCTACTTATGATTTGCTCTCTTTTGTATTTGCTGTAAATGTGATGTGAAAATATCCACAGCCTCACAAAAGTGGCATCTTTATTATCCAAGACAGAAGGTGTAGGTTTGGGAACATTTTGCGATATTACTTTGAAATTATCAATATTTTCTTGTAGCCATGAAATGGCCGTATATAAACATACTTCATTCTCATGAGAAATTTTAATGTATGTTGACAGCTCTGAATTCAAATTAGTTTCTTGCAGTCTATTCAACTGATTACACCTTACATATACATCAGGCTCTTCATCTGGGTAAAGTGTGGGTAAGTTAACATATATCTCTAGTTTATACTCATTGAGATGAATTTTCATAATAAAATCAAGATGGCTAGGAATATTAAAACTTTTATTTTCGACAAATTGTTTAATGTCTTCGAACACACTGTTATCAGTTATTATAATTTCATTCTGATTGGGATACATAGATTTCAATAATTCTAATTCACTTAATTGCTTAGTTAAATTAACAATTAACGTATCTTTAACTGATTGGTCAGCCTCCATATTTCTATTTGATTATAATTTTCGATAGTATAATATGGATTTTTAATTACTATATAGAATTCTAAGCAAACATCTGGCAGTAAATTGTAAACACAACACATAACTAGAATCGTGAATTGTAATGACAAACTTGTGCGATGTAACTGGATGTGACATTGAATATTTGACAAGTTTAACTTAACTGACAGTGACAAGTTGTTATTGTACAATTTGGTAGAATTGTTTTTTTTGACCTGGTAACATTGACCTTATTTGGGGGAGAATATAGAAAGTCTTATTAATTGATTCGTTCATCCATTCTGTTCCATTATTTTTTGCACAAATGGATATCAGAAGTCTTATTTTTTAATCTATAAAAAACCTTTGGTTTAGAATCCGCAATTATATACTGTATTTCTGCACTATATGAGAAAGATATGTCGTTCATTGTCAAATTGTTAATGTCAATTGAAAATAAGACTTGGCTGCGGCCTATATATTATAAAATTCTCTATATTCAAAATAAAAAAGACAAGGCTGTATGGCTTAGTTCCTTTGCCTGCTCTTTCGAGTGAATGATAAAAACAACAACAGTTAATGTCAATTGTCATTGTCAACAAATTTGCTGAAATTCGCTGCAGAGATTGGTAAATCGAAATAAATTTCTTAAAAAAGATTTAACCTAGTACTATTGTGGATATTGAACCTGTTTATTATGGCTTCACCGCTGGAGCAGTTTGTTAATAATGTTAGAACATCATCAGCAGCAGGTAGGTTCAATACATTTGAACTATTGTAATACACCGGTTTTAAAGGCTTGGAGTTTTATATATTTTTGATGATAACTTGTATCTTTCATAGTAACTTATATATTTTAAGACTTAAATTTTTGGTAACTTGTTGTCATTAACAAATATTCAATTGTTATTGATTTCGTATTAGTCTCAGTGAGACTTAAAAACCCAACACTTTTGTAGGTCATTTTAGAGATGTATTAGAATTAATAGTAAAATCGGATGAAGTCTTACAAAGAAACAAGGCTCATCTAAACACAGTGTTGGAGACCCTGGATGTTCAGCAGCATTCTCTTGGTGTTTTGGCTGTTCTTGTTGCTAAATATTCCAATCCACAGGTTAGTAGTGTATGTGATATTTAGATACCAAGATCAAAATTATTAAAGATAATGATATTTATGTTTGCTTTAAAACTGTTTGATTTGCATGAACAAAAAGCATAATAAATTAATAGAGTAAATCTAAGGTAAAAAATAAAATGATTGGATCTCCCAAAAAAGGTAACATGGTTTTATATTTCATAACAATTTAAATTATCATGAATATTGTTTTAATTATTGAAGATTTTGTTAAATTAACAATGTTTATTTCTAGGGAACTAATGAAGTTGATAAAACAAATATGTACTCAAAGATCTATGAATTTATTACAAATTGTAATGGTGAACAAGTGCGCTTAGAACCTGACTTATGTAAGTTTTGTTGCATGCTATACACTTTCACTCATAATTCTGGTAAAAACAATGGTAAATGTTTAAATAGACATGTTTATTTACTTTTTAAACATTTTTAAAAATAATAGATACAGCCTATCTTACATATATCAAATATATCTACATTACTTGACCTTAAATAGCATTATAATGCATAAATATTTATAATACAACACTATTGTGCTTCTTACAACATTATTGTGCAGATAAATTTAAATATAATTTCAATTCCTTTAAATTTTAGATGCGGAGCTTTGTCATCAACTTACAGACCATCTTATTGAAATCAAGCAGCCTATAAGGGGCATTGAAGTTCTGAAAAAGGCCATCAAGAAGATACAATTATTTGATTCCCAGTTAACTTCAGTGCATGCAGATCTGTGCCAGTTGTGTCTGCTCTCTAAATGTATGAAGCCAGCTCTTGAATTTCTTGATACTGACATAACAGGAATTGGATCGGAGGTAAGTGTTGAAATTGTATGTTGTTGTCGAACTTGTATGGTGTACTTCATCATTAAGCATTTTATTATCAATAACTAGTTGTTGCTCACAAACCAGTCTGTGCAGAATTATAAAAAACAAGTAGCTAAGTATACATTCTTAGGCCCTTAATAAAATATTTTAATCTCTTTCAGCTTGGTGGTAACAATGATTCTAAGCATTTTCTGCTTTATTATTACTATGGAGGTATGATCTATACTGCCATGAAGAATTATGACCGTGCTTTATACTTCTTTGAAGTAGTTGTTACAGTCCCTGCATTAGTTGTTTCACACATAATGCTAGAGGCATACAAGAAGTACATTTTAATCTCATTGATTTTGCATGGAAAGGTAAATTTATCTATTGTATACATCTTGTATCTTTATTTACTTAAGACTAGCTGGCACTCTACGCTCACTATGTCATCCCTGTGGAATTAAAAAAAAAATGTCATAGTAACTATGCCTTATCTAGATAACTTCCATTCTGGTGGTAAGGTTTTATATGTTATGATTTTTTCAGATGCTTACAATGCCTAAATATACATCTCAAGTAGTATGTAGATTCCTGAAGCCATTGTCAGTGGCTTATCATGAATTGGCCTCCACTGAACATGCAGCAGTAAAACACAGGGAGACATTTGTACGAGATAAGAATATGGGTTTAGTTAATCAGGTAAGTTTAGAAACACTAATCTGCTTCAAATTTCCACAGTTATTAAGCAATTCAACTGAAAAATTTAATTGAAATAAATGAGGAATCAAACTACACATTCAAAAGTTGTTGCAATGTATTGTGTTTTACTGTAGTAATGGACCTTAAAATTTAATTTCTTTAATTACAAATGCGAGAAAACACTGCTCAGACAATGAGTCCAACCTGAAACCATTACATTTATGATTTGTTGACAGGGAAATTTTTGACTTTTATTTTTTCACAAGTATTTATTGAATGTATGGGAATTTAAATAAAATATGGGTATTTTTTTACAGGTGCTAAACTCGATGTATAAGAAAAACATTCAAAGATTGACAAAAACATTTTTAACATTATCTCTAAGTGATGTGGCATCTCGCGTACAATTAACTGGACCGGCGCAGGCGGAATCTTATATACTGAATATGGTAAATAAGTACAATTATGTCACATTTTGATTAGTAACATGTTTTAAATAAGCTTCACCAAAGAATTAATACTTTTATCAAACACAGATATAAAAGTTATTAAGTTTTGTTACTGCCTATATTAAAGACTAAATGTCGCCCATGACTCCGTCTGTTCTTCCAGACTATGTTCTACATCTGTGCCAAACTTTATCAAGATCCGTTGAGTCGTTCTGGAGATGCCTTCAAACAAACATCCATCCATCTAAATATTCCCATTTATAATATTAGTAAGATATGATTTAATATGAATCATATTTTTTTTATAAAATTGGTCTATGTTGTAAATATTGCTAATTTTTGTATAATTTCAGATTGAAGAAGGTGAAATCTATGCTATGATCAATCAAAAAGACGGTATGGTTGTGTTCCTGGACAGCCCGGAGAAGTATGCATCCCCTGAGACACTGTGCGTGCTGGAGCAGCAGATGGCCGCCTGCACTAAACTGCATCAGTATATACAAGAAATGGACGAACAAATACAAGTCAACCCTCAGGTATGGATTAAAACATTTCACTGCTTGTATAATGCTAAGGGACCACTTAACTCCAAGACAGTTCGTCAGTCAAGAAAGACCCTTTTAGTTAGATTTAGTATGTCTTTATTATTCATGTTGCTTATTACAATACTTACTGTTGTCAAAGAAAATACGTAGTAGTACATCTTCAGACCAGGTAGTAATTTTTCTTTGTGCTAAATATTATCCAGATCTGTTTAATCTTTTTGGAGCCATCAATGTAATCTTTCCATAGTAAAAGTAATAAAAATTATTATCTTATTTTTTAGTATGTAAAGAAGTCTGCAGGGAGTCACGACGAAGATATGCCAGCCACAAGTCAGAACTCAAAAACAACATATTCAATGTAAATAACAATATAATTTCTAAACAAGTGTAACAATTTAGTTCATTAAACCATCTCATATATAATAGCAGTTTATTTTAAAAATATAAAAAAACATATTCCCATCCCATATCCATACATACATTTTATATGAATTTTCATACATTAGAATGCCTCATGAACAGCCTCGGTAAATGCAGTCATACTCTCCAATGGGGTCTGTGGTGTTATCCCGTGACCTAAATTAGCAATGTACCTGTGCTTGCCAAACTTTTGCACCATATCTATTGTCATCTTCTTAATTTCCTCCTGCAAAGGAATTAAACATTAGTTTTCGGTCCCAATATGAATAGGATGTCAATCTTTAAGGTTTTTGTTCATGATTATCAATTTTGGAAAAGAAAATAATGAAGCAAGTTTCTACTAGTTTTTAGTATAGATGGTAAGTAAATATAAACTACATTAAGTAAACTGGTTCCACACTCTGAGAACTTTAAAATATAACAATCTTTACTGTAATATTCATGTTTTCATGTCAATTTAAAATAATGCGGAATAAAACCATTTTCAACTTACTGGTGTCTTGTATAAATCTTGTGGATCCAGATTTCCTTGCAAAGTAATATTGTCACCAACAATTTTTCTGGCTTCCACCGGGTCCACCGTCCAATCTAAACCAATTGTTTCATATCCTAATGTTACTTGCACATCTAACGAATGCCCCCCACCTTTTGCAAATACTGTCTGTAATTCAAATTGCAACAATTTAATATCATAAAATAAAAAGTAAACATAAGTTTTACATATCTTATAAGATACAAAACTAAATACTAACGAAATGAGAAAAAAGTTACAATTTAAATCGGAATAAGACAAATATTTGAATACTTACCATAGGAACTTGTTCCAATTTTTTCTCCTCAAGTTTTTGTTGAACCCCAGTCCTTATATCCTTTAAGTATGGAGCTGACACTTCTGCAAATTGTTCCTTTGTGAGATGGTCCGCACTTGATTCAAACACTTGTAGTAATTGTGCTCCACTTTCTGCCTATAATATACATGTTTAATTAATAATGTATGTAAAGAGTACCTGAGTAAGTAATAAAACTTTTTAGTGAATGTCTCAAAACACAAAGAAAAATTTGACCTTAAAGTAAAAAGTAAAGTAAAAATTATTTTATTGCATTTTTCACACTTTTACACATATTCGGAAGGTTTGTCTATTGTGCAAAGCCTTAAATACTTAACACTTTACTTGTTCTACTTTTCATATGATTTTGGTAACCTATATTCTAAAACACGGAAGAATAATATGTTTATAAGATTATTTCTGGTTACTAAAATAATCAGTTAATGTTAACAAAGGTTATCTGCAATTTTCTTGCGGGGATAAAACAATTCCTAAGATGTATGCACTTTAAGCCGATGAAACACAAAGTATATTTACCCATGTTTTACATATTTAGTGCCACTCACTTGCCAAGTTCATTTTCATACAAAAAAATTGTAGGTGTATTATGTATAAGTTTTTTTATTACCTGCATAACTAAGTAATCAATTATAACTCTTGTCAGCAAACTGAGCAGCTTATGGACATCCTTTGGGTACTTTTCAAGCCATTCTTTGGTCTTAGACATTGTTTTACTTCCACCACCCTCTATCATGTAACCCATTAGTGTGAACTGTAATTAATTAATTAAGACTAATTCATGCCAATATCGAGAGGAAAATAGTCACTTACAATTCCATTAAGAGATGTCAACTGCTCATAGGCACTACCTATTGAAAACTTAAATTTCTACTTGATTTCAACTTTTAATAATAAACAACTCAATAAAATGAAAACTTACAGGAGCTCCAGTAAATCCAATTAAAGGCACCTTGCCTTCTATTTTGTGTCTTGTCAATGTTATTGCATCCCCAACATAGGTTAATCTGGAGACAGCTCCATCCTCTTGCAATTGATCTATTTCACTGGGACTTTGTAAGGGGGTTGGGAACACTGGACCCTGTAAATTTATGTTGCAAATAGTGTATATCAAAGTGAATACCACAACATTAAATAAAAATTAATAATTTGCTACTAACCACACCTGGATGCATTTCCACAGTCATACCAAGAGCTTGAGGGATAACAAGGATGTCGCTAAATATGATTGAGGCATCCAAATGTTCATAGCGTCTTAAAGGCTGAAGTGTAACTTCGCAAGCCAGTTCAGGAGTTCGACAAACTGTAAAGAAGTCATGTTGCGCTCTTACTGCCTGGAACTCCGGCAGATAGCGACCAGCCTGACGCATCACCCATACCGGTACTTTATCTACTTCCTTGCCTGTAGCTGCTCTTAACAATCTATCGTTTTTCAATGCGGGAAAGTCCTAAAACCGTAGAATATTCTGTCTATAAAAGCGTTACACAATTATATTAGAGATAAGGTAGTCTAAAAATTAAAAAATAAAGTTCTCTAGTGTCTTACTAAAAATATGTTTGTCATTGGTTGAAAATTTATCTTTGAAATTTTATGCGGAAACTAATAAACGACTTACCTTATTTGAATAAACCATTTTATAATTTGGGTTTTTATTTAGTACCTATTGTGTATAGTATATAAATATACTTTACAAGTCTACCCCGCTAAAAGTTATCAACTGTTATCACTTTCGCCGGTAATTAAAACTCATTTAAATGAAAAAGTCATTCAAATTGTCTAATCATGTCATGTTCAAGTTTTGACAGACAAATAGTGTTTCCACTAGACAAAAACAAATTTCCCTATATTTAAACAACTCGGAAGTGGAACTGTTTTAAATTGTAATAAAAAATTTATAGACCTTTTTATTTAAAAAAAAAATTAAAAAAATTTAGCCACGTAACGAAGATATCTGGTATACTTTCTGCTTTCATACCTAATTATCTAGGTTTACCCAAGAAATTGCTATAAATAAAGAAGCTGGAAATACCGCCTCAATAAATGTCATGTTGTGAGTTGTTGCCAGTAATGTTAACTATGGTATTAAAATTGTTAATCATTCAAGATACGAGATGGCGTGATTTAATATTTACGATGTTCGTGTATAAAAGACAATCATGATATGAATAGGAACTGTACGAATATGATCTTTGCTTCCATTTACATGGCGCTAGTGCCATATGTTTACGAAGAATGGTCAAAATGAGTGATCACGACCCTCAGGACTGAAGAAACGGGGCAGAGATAGAGTTCTGTGTTAATTTTTTCTAGGTTATTCTGCAGTAGAAAGTATTTAAATACCATTACTTATTATTTAGATATCCAAATAAGAAATGAAACGGAGTAAAATGTCGCACAAATCCTTACGTTTCTTATCATATGTACGTTATAAATTTTTTATCCGATTCCGTTTCTTATCATATGTACGTTATAATTTTTTTATACGATTTAGGTTTTAGGCATAGTCGTTGAGCTGTTTTTATAATTTTGCAGTTGCAGTGCTTGACCGAATTTAACCGAAATTCGTCCAGATTTTGGATCTGGACGAATTTACGTACCGCCATGTACCAACCATGTTTCATATCAACCTGTTTTCATATTATATAGGTAACTAGTTTTTTGTTTATTTAAAAATCACAAGGAAAAATAAAAATTCGTAGTACTACTTTGATCTTTTTCTTTTAACTTTTATTTTCTATGTGATCTTCAAAGTTTACTGTAAGTTCTGGAGTTTACTGGCAAATCGGCCGATGAAGTAAATAAAAACGCGGATTACGCGGGATCGCGGACGCGTATTAATATCAAATAAACATTTGGCCTTCATGCGTTTAAAATTATGCTACATAAGCCTTGTGCCATACAGTAAACGAGTATTTTAGTGCATAATGTTAACTAACCTAATCATTAACCGCAAAAAAGAAAAAATCGAAAATTGTTGCTTTAAGCCATTTACGTAGAGCAAATCGTTTTATCCAACTTTCTTCTGCTGAAAGAAAACATCGTGAGTTAAGTACATATCTGCCAAGAAATTCAAAGGTATGTGTGAAGTCAACAAACCCGCACTGAGCAAGCGTGGTTAACTATGAACTAAACTAACCCTGGAAGGCTCCGAGCCGTTCGGTTCTGAGGGAGGTATGAGCTGACAACCTACACGTACAAGATCCGATTACCTACATTTTATTTGCATGTTAGGTATTACGATACGACTTTATTGAACTTGCATAATTTTTAGTAAATCCAGAGTAAGATACAAGGGATTTTAACATCCAGCAGATTAATTAATTAATACTGATTTTGATTGCTTCATAGAATTTTTATTAGAAATAAACAGAGTAACGTATGCATGGGTCCACTATGTCAGGTCTCGAGTGGTTCAAAGTTAATCCAATAAAAGGATAAAAAGTAGATAGGGTCGTTAAATATACAAAGTTTGCGAGTGGAGCGTTCGTATCTACCTGCCGTCGCATTTCTATCAAAACGTAAAAAAAATCGAATGAGAGGGGTCCGCCATACTTTTTGTTAACGTTCGCAGCGACATAAGACGACCTTTCACTGCGATGTATTTTTTGTGTATCCAAACCTTTATCCCGGTCTCCTAATAAACTTTATTCGCTTCGAATGAACAGTGATGCAGCTATTTTGTTAGTTATGACTTGCGCGCTTGTTCTTCTCCATCGTTCTATAGATTTGCTTCGCTCAAAGTCGATTTTCGATTTCTTACAGATATTGACTTTTTTACCGGAATATTATTCTATTATGTTTAAAGTTTCGCTTGTCCGTATATAACATGTATACACGGGATTTAATAATATTTAGCAATGTTTCACAAATTCAAGGTTTTTTTTAGATAATTCGGAACAAAATAGCTATTCTTTAGTTCTCTATTAAATTTATAATTACTAATTAAATTATAATTTCTGGAACAATAAAATCGTTCAGAAATCTTTTGTAATATACATAGAGTCAAAAGAGAATGTCTTTAAAGTCGATATTCAATGTTGTAAAAACGTGGGGTACTTTTAACTTCGCGAGATATCAAAACAATATTTTTTTTATCTCAATGCAAGTCGCAATCCGCAGGTGAGTGGTGACCCGCGGACACAGGTGCCGTTGTGACTTGTGCATTCTTTGTGTTGCGGTGAGATCCTATACACCCTATTCATCATACACACTCACACAAACAACATTATAAATTCCATAATCTTGCCGATTTATACCTGGTACATTGGAAAAGCTGATTGATTTTAACTAAGAAAGACATGAAGAACAAAGTTAATTATTCATATTTTTTAATACTAGACATAAATAGGCAAACGGCCGTCTGATTTCCCGAAAATAACGAAGTGACCGCTTTACATAGTTTTTTTTACTTGTTTGTCAATAGTGTGACGTTTCAAAGTAACCAGTGTTTCATACTGCAAAATAGCAGAAATAAATTGCTGAAATTGATGCTCAACAAAAAACAACAGGCGCGTTTCCTATACAACAGTCCAATACGCCGCGAATTTGAAATTGGCGTTAAAAAACCTCTGCATAAAAGTAACAGTGAAAACGGAACATTTGATCCCAACACTATGTACTAATCGCTATTTTAGTACATAATAAGATGGAGATGTCACGAATGTTTTTACTATTAAATATTTTATTTGACACCATTATTATTTATTTCTTTCTATAATTAGTTTTCAAAATGTTTTAGCTCCTGGACTATATATTATCATTTTTTCTAAATCGAGTTAAATTAGTTATGATATATTGCAATATAACGGTGTTGTGGGAACGTATCTAATGCTATAGATCAAAATGGTAAAAGAAAAGAAGATTACACGCCCTAATTTGGACAGGACCGTTAGCACAAAAAAAGTTTCGCGTTTTTTATAACACCAAGATAATGGACTACGTTTCTGCGATTTATTTTTTCATATAGTTTTTATGCAAACCGATTTTGAAGTTCAGTAGGCCCAGCAGGTACGATAAAATGCCTTGTCCTGATATCTTTATTTAAAAAAAAACGGGAAAACGACCTAGTGATAAGATTTACAAAAGTTAATGTATAGGTTTAATATATAAAAAAAATCTCCCTCTTTTACATTGTTGGTTTCATACATCTATTACTTCTAAATTTAAAAAAAAATCTACAACATTCTTTATTTGCATATCTATAAATCTCGATTTATACATATGAAAAAATCCACATTTAAATGCAAGTATTAAAACTTTTTACAGTATTGGATGCATAAAAAATAATACGTACATTTAACAACATCACGTCAAGTAATAAAGTTAAAAACAAAAGAGAAACATAAAAATGTTTAATCAAATTCATCCAAGAAAGCATGAATGTGCAAAATAGTGGCAGACTCAATGACCTGCGATACAATTCGTGAGATAATACGGTCTGGGGCTAGCGGACTGTGGTCATGACCAGCTTATCAGACTAAAGCACGAACATTTTTATATTTTTTAAATATAATTTTCTATTTCACACACATTATGCCAACCAGTGTTGTATTCAAAATAATAAATACTTCGACCTTTTTACTGTATTTCGTAGACTTCATTGATGAGGTATGGGTATGGGACAAATTCTAAAACTTATTATTTATTTGGCCTTTGGCCTTTCTAAATGCCTTTAAAAGCCTTTAGTTAACTTAATTTAGTACTTTATTTTTCGTAACCGAACTACTTAAGTCTTCGTCAAGATTATTTATATTGTCTTTTAAAACATCGATTTTGTAAAAATATTTAAGGAATGTTATACTGATTTGTAATAATATCTTAGGAGCAATTAATTAGATTGTAACAAATATAAAAATGTTGGTTTCCGGCGTCAATGAAAGCAATATCTGGTTGGCGGTAGGAGGAGGAGGAAGGTGCAAGCGAGTGCGGTGCAATAGCGAACAATTGTCACTAATGCAGGCCTCAATTTATTTACGAGACAGCGGCTAGGGGCGCATTGGAACATAGTCGTTAAACTGCGATGGAATAGATAACATATATTTATTATTTTTATATCTTCATTTTATAAACTTGAGTATCCAAGCTGGAAACAAAAAGCGTCTAGCTTAGCGTTTGAGAGCTAAAACACGTCATAGCTAAATAAAATGATAGAGAAAGCTAAATTCTCTAAATTTAGCTCTGTGCAATTATCAAACCTTTGATTAAATTGTGAACAACCTAAGTGGTTGCGATCGTCGGTTATGCACGGAAAGGCGAACAAAAGTTACAGATAAACGCTTGCTAATTACGAAGCAGGGAAAACATTGTGTTCTATAAAACTTGATAGCCTCGTTGCAATTCATAGTACGAATCACAAATAATTCATTAACATTACAAAAACAGAATAAAGATTACAATAGGCAGTTTAGCGCGTACGTGAACGATTAAGATTCTCAGTGGTTCGGATCA